ACCCCGCTTGGCTATCCGGTACCTGTCTGCTGCCTCCGGAGACCCACAGACCAGCCACGCCCTGTAGGCCTCCTTCTTCAGCCTGACGGCTCCCCGAACCTCTGGTGTCCACCAGCGGGTACGGGGGTTGCCACCACGACTGGCACCGGCCACCTTACGACCACAGCTAGCAACAGCCGCCTCGACAATCGCAGAGTGGAACAAGGCCCACTCGGACTCAATGTCCCCCACTGCTCTCGGGACGTGGTCAAAGCTCTGCCGGAGGTGGGAGTTGAAGACCGTCTTGACAGGTTCTTCTGCCAGGCGTTCCCAGCAGACCCTCACTATGCGTTTGGGTCTGCCAGGTCTACGCGGCATGTTCCCTTGCCATCTGATCCAACTCACCACCAGGTGGTGATCAGTTGACAGCTCCGCCCCTCTCTTCTCTCGGGTGTCCAAAACATACGGCCGCAGGTCAGATGATACGACTACAAAATCTATCATCGACCTGTGACCTAGGCTGCCCTGGTACCAAGTGTACCGGTGGGCATCCTTATGTTCGAACATGGTGTTCGTTATGGCCAAACTGCGGCTTGCACAGAAGTCCAATAACAAAACACCGCTCGAGTTCAGATTAGGTGGGCCGTTCCTCCCAATCACACCCCTCCAGGTCAAGCTGTCATTGCCCACGTGAGCATTGAAGTCCCCCAGCAGGACAATGGAGTCCCCTGATGGAGCACTATCTAGCACTCGTCCCAGGGACTCCAAAAAGGGTGGGTACTCTGAACTGATATTTGGCCCATAAGCACAAACAACAGTCAGGACCCGTTCCCCGACCCGAAGGCGCAAGGAAGCTACCCTCTTGTCCCCCGGGGTAAACCCCAACACACAGGCAGAGAGTCTCGGGGCTAACAAAAAGCCAACCCCAGCCCTCCGCCTCTCACCCGGAGCAACTCCAGCAAAGTAGAGTGTCCAACCCTGGGGAGTATATTCATTTTATACAATTTACCTTCCCTGCCAACGATAGATGAAGTGGCTTCCATTTCTTTAAGTCTGATTAGACTTTTTCAAATGGCGAACTAAAATTTTTGTCATATAGATTGTGCAGATCTCTCGTTATATTTATGCAAAGATATTTAAAGCCGCAGATGCATAACGAACGCAAACTACGCAAGGCAGCCATGATACGAACGCGTACGCGTTGTTAAAAACAAGTATATTTCCAGCCTTAGACTCGCTTCCATCTGGCAGGAGGTTTCGATCCACTTGGATCAGAACCTCTTGCCACAAAAAAAGTTGCTTCCTCTTTGCTGTTGGACTCATGAACGACAATCCTAGTGCTGCCCACTCCAGTTGCTTGGTCGCAGTCACATGACCCGGTGTTGTGTTTGGACCTGAACTAATCCTCTCACACCAGTAACTACACCGACTTGTATATAGTAGCCGCTTCTCTAATTATTGCCACTTTATTTTGTTATTCACCATGATTATATTCTTACTTCCTATATTTGCGTATCTCTGATTTTTATTTATTTTTGCTCCAAGTACCGCAGCAATGTCCTCGTTGTGATTTCTCACACACACGGCAATAAAACCATCCCGATTCTGATATATGTGATTTGCAATAGTCATTTTGTCACAGCTTGACAGTGCATACCATCAGTGTTGGCCATTGAGCGGGATCATCAGTCATAAAACAATCATTAACATAACATCCCTATTAGAAAATGTCTCTCACTACATGTATGCAGCTGTTGTGAAGCTGGAGAGCTCCTTCAGTGGCAGACTGCTGCATCCTAGGTGCATAAATGAATATTATCATAGGTGTGACTCTACAATCACCACTGCTCCCAACAAAACCAGTAAACCGATCATGCAGCTCTTGTGATTTTCAGTTTCTGTTGTTATTCTGCTTGCACTCGTGTGTCTCATTTGAAACCTTCACAGCCTATTTGGAGGCTTTTCAAAACTCTGAAATGTCTATGCTGAGGGACAACAAAGTGCAGGGACAGTGCCGAAAAGCGTCTGACACCTAGGACATCAGCACAGGACACTACCTGCCAGCTCAGCTCCTCCACCACCACCAAATCAAGGCTCTCAGCCACGCCTCCTGCCCCTCTGCCATCCACCACCCTTCATTTCACACCTACAAAAACCTTCTCCACCTTTGTGTAGAGAGAGATGTAAACAAACATTTGGGGAGACAGAACGTGAATGAACTGTGCTTTGTTCTGTAGAAGTTACATCTGAGCTAAGAGGTGGTGCTGGTGCAGAGTGCAGTTCGTTGATGCTCTGGTACCACTGCAGGTCATTTCTTCCTTGTCTTCATCATAGGAAGTTGAAGGTGCAGCTGGGAATAATGTACAGACTACACTACACATTAGGAGATCCCCATATGTAAAATTCACAAATGTCCAGTGAAATGTACAGCAAAAACAATGTGTGCCCATTTGGTAACAATGTCCTCCACATCTTACCCTCATCTTTGTTTAAAAGTGCTTTTCAGTCCATCGGTCCCAGCGTGCTCTCTATAATTAATGCTTCTCTGGTCTCTGGTCAGGTCCCTGCTTACTTTGAGAACGCTGTAATCCACCCGCTTCTTAAAAAACCGAGTCTGGACCCCTCTCTCCATAGCAGCTTCAGACCCATCTCTAAACTTCCGTTCATCTCCAAGATCTTGGAAAAGGATGTGGCTAAACACCTCACAGCTGCTCTTGATGAACATAACATCTATGATAGCTTCCAGTCAGGTTTTCGTAGAGCTCATTCTACTGAAACAGCTCTTCTTAGGGTCTCTAATGACCTTCTGACTCACAGTGATGCAGGGGACTGTTCTGTTCTGGTCCTGCTGGACCTGACTGCAGCCTTTGACACTGTTGACCATCACCTGCTACTGGAGAGGCTGAGAGACTGGGTAGGCCTATCAGGATCTGCTCTGGAGTGGTTCTCCTCTTATCTCTCTGAGCGCTCCTTTTCTGTGGCCGTCTCCAAGTTTAGGTCCTCCACCACCTCCCTTACTCACGGTGTCCCACAAGGTTCGGTGCTGGGGCCTCTACTCTTCCTCCTCTATCTGCTTCCTCTTCAGCACATCCTGAGCTCCTTCAAAGGAATCTCCTACCATCTTTATGCAGACAACATCCAACTGTACATCTCCTTTAAGCCCCATGAGATGTCTAAGCTGCAGCTGTTACACACCTGCTTAGACTCTATCAAAACCTGGATGGTGGGAGCGTTCTTCAGCTGAGTGAAGATAAGACTGAGATCCTCATCTGTGCCCCAGACAAGCTGGTTCCCAAAGTCAGAGACTCTCTTGGTCAGCTTGCTTCCCACACCAAACCTTCTGTCAGGAATCTTGGTGTGACCTTTGACCCAGCTCTCACCCTGGATTCTCATGTCAGTTCTCTTGTTGGCTCTTCCTTCTTCCATCTCAGGAACGTTGCTAAGCTGAGTCCCATTCTGTCCCGCTCTGAACTTGAGACAGTTCTCCACACCTTCATCTCCTCACGCTTAGACTACTGTAACTCTCTTTTCACGTGTCTGAGCAGAACCTCCCTGAACCGTCTACAGGTGGTTCAGAACGCCTGTGCTCGGCTTCTGACCAAGTCCTCCAAACACACCCACATCACCCCGCTTCTCCTCCAGCTTCACTGGCTGCCAGCCAACTTCAGGGTTCATTTCAAGATCCTGGTTCTGGTCTATAGGGCCTTACATGGACAAGCACCATCTTACATTGGTGATCTTCTTAGTCCCTACACCCCCAGCAGGTCCCTGAGGTCCAGTGATCAAAGCCTACTGGTTGTGCAGCACCAGGCTAAAGGTCAAAGGTGACAGATCATCTGCTGCTGTGGCCCCCAGACTCTGGACCTCTCTCCCCCTGAGCCTGAGATCAGTGGACTCAGTGGTCTCCTTTAAAAAGCAGCTGAAGACTCACTTGTTCAAGCTGGCTTTTGGATGACCTTCTTCACCTCTCTCTCTTTATTCTGCTCTCCCCACCTATTCCACCTTCCTCAGGATCCACTGGTTTACCTCTTTCCTGTTCACTCTCTCTCTCTCTAACATTTTTTAATCACAATTGTCTATTTTTGCTCATTTTAAATATATTTTTAAACATTTTCTAAATGATTTTTTATATTTTTGCATTTTTTGTTTTTGTGAAGCGCCTCGTGACTTTTGTCTTGAGAGGCGCTATAGAAATGATGTTTTCTTCTTCTCATACAGCATGCTGCATGAACCCAAGTTACATTTTTATTTTGTGTTTTTTTAGGTTACAGTACTAGATTACTGCCTATGTGTATATACATGTACCTTTGTTATTATCTTTCTTCTAATAATTCTCTTTAAGTGTTGGTGCTGCTGTAACAAGTGAATTTCCCCACTGTGGGATCAGTAAAGTCTTTTTTATTCTATTCTAAATACTTAGTACCTAGCACTGGGAACCTTAAAGTTAAATGGACAATGTTAGGCTTTTGCAATAACATTTCCTTAAATACAGAAAAAGTCAAACTAGAGTAAATGTGATTTTTCTCCTATCCTGTTAACATATTATGGTTTTGTAGCCACAGCCACTTCAAGGAAACGTTTCCTCAGCTGCCGGCTGCTAGCATGCTGACTAGTGACTACAGCTGTTCACCTGTCTGGTGCAGGTAACTTGTTGCAGCAAACTGGCAGCTTGGAAGTTTGAACGAGGCATGTGAGCCTAATTTATCCGGTGTAAATGATCACTTACCACTGTCATGTTTTTCTTTTCTTCCTCCTTATTACTTTTGTTCTTTTCTGGCTTCCAGACAGGTATCTCTGCTTCCTTCTCTGCTTTGTTTTCAAATGTTGCCAGCTGCAGCTGCAGGGCGAGCGTGCGTGTCCAGTCAGCTGGCTAGCCCAGCGGGGCAGGGCCAGCGCGCTGAGCTTACACAGTCTGCTACTGCATTTGTTTCAGACAGAAACTGCCTCGTTTGCCTGCCCTGTTGCGACGGGCCTGCGGGGTTTTTGTGTTGAACAGTTCCACCTGATGTTCTTTTCTCCAGTCCCGGGAGCTGGAGATCTCCGTGTACTGGAGGGACTGGCGCTCGCTCTGCGCCGTCAAGTTCCTGCGGCTGGAAGACTTCCTGGATAACCAACGCCATGGAATGTGTCTGTACCTGGAGCCACAGGGAATGCTGTTCGCCGAGGTACACACACACACACACACTCATGCACACACGCACAAAAACACACACACGCATCAGTCTTGCACACACTCATACACACTCACACATACGCACATGAACACACACACACACACACACATGTCTATGTGTCCTTGCGTGGACCTTCCATTGACTTCCATTCATTTTTGGGACTCCACTATGCCTAACCTACACCCTAACCATAACCAATGAGGTTCTGTTCCTAAGCCTCATGTAAACTAAACTCACACGTACCTCTTAAACCAATGAGTAGAGCTCCGTAACATCGTACCAAAGTGAGGAGCAGCAAAATGTTCTAACTTTGATTTATAGACAAGTGCACACACACACACACACACACACACACACACACACACACACACACTCACACACATAGATGCTGAATGCTTTGATGTTCATCCACACTTGTGATAAATAATATATTCAGCTCATTCTTATTCTGTAAAATGTTTCACATGGATTCATTTAGTTATGGTAACACTTTACTAGCCTGGCCTGCCAGACTCGTCCTACACAGAGAAGCAGTCTGGTTCCTCACTAGCAGAGCGGCACACGAGAGGCGGGACTAGCCAGCTGTAAAATAACCAATCAGAAATAAGGCGGAAATGCCGACTGTACCGCGCAACGCTGTCGTTTTTTAGCTGTAGTCAAAAATGGCGTCTGGTGACGACTAAAACATCTTTTTTAGGCCTTCAGTCCTTCTTGCTGTGGTTTTAAGGACGTGTCCAAGTCATTTAGGACAGAGGAAAGAGCAGCAGCCACCTCTTCAGTCGCCATCTTTGTTGTTTATGAGAAACTCAGCGTTGTGGTGTGAGACGTACGCTGCTCAGTGCTCATTGGCTCGGTTAGAATTCCCAGGGGGTGGGGCTGTTTAAATAGGAGAGTTCCCAGACTTCCCATAAGGAAGCATTGGGTCTGGCTCATCAGGCTAACTCTTTACAATAAGGGTCGCTTTATTAAGGTTACTTAGAGCATTATTAAGAATTAACTAACTAACTATATCCATTTATTAACGTTCTTGATATGGTTAACTATTAAAGGTCCATGAGGTTAGGACAAAGGGCCAAGATGAAGGTGTCTGTTTAGTAATGCATTACTTAATAGTAAATTAATATTAAGCTGTTGTTGATATTTGTTTATAGTTTATTAATGCTTAATAATGCACTAAGTAACGTTAATAAACGGCCCTTATTGGACCCCATTCTTTATTCATATTTATCGTGTTTATTAATTTATCACTCGTTATTGTTTGACTTGCCTCCGATGGTTTTTGCTTCTCCTTCCACTAAATAAAAACCAAACACACACTTAGATCCCGAACTCTTTAGGTAGACACCACCTGCTCTCCACCTTTAAACGAAAAATCTGTAAAAAATTAAACCTTCTTGACATCAATTTGCCCCCCCCCCCCCCCCCCACCATCAGACATTTACAGATGTAAAATTCACGCATGCAAAATCCAACTTAGAAGCAGCGTCATAATCGCTTGGTTTGTTTTCCTTCATGAGGTGTGTGCATGAACACTTCATTGGTGCAAACTGTCTCGCTCTCTCATTTGGTTTGTTTTGCTCTCCTTACCTGGCGTGAACTTTCTGTCTTGTGCAAACTGTGCCGCTCTTGCGCTTTCTTGGTAGTGCGCCCCTGGTGACCGATGGCGGTAAAAAACCCAGACAAGCCGCAGGGTCCAATCAATTGAAAAAAGTCGTGGCTTATATTCTGGAAATTACGGTAGTTGTGTCAAATCAGAGACCAGTGGTGTATGGTTACCATGTGGCCACATGTGGTCCCAGAGCCACAGCTTGCTGATCCCTGCATGTTTGTCTACATCAGGATGAACTTCTCAAGGTTGTCTAACCCTTTTCTGTGTTTTCCAGGTAACGTTTTTCAACCCCGTCATTGAGAGAAGACCTAAGCTACAAAGACAAAAGAAGATTTTCTCCAAACAACAAGGTGATGTTCTAGAGGAGTTCTGGTAGGTGGACCATGCCACCTTACTTTTACAGCAACAAACAAACTTGAACAGTTTATCTGTGACGGTACTTGCTGCCTTTGTTTGTGTTAACAAGTAAGAACGCCTGACAACAAAGAAAGATGGAGTCAAATGGAAGCATTCCACTCTTCTGGGTCCTTTCCATCCTCATGGTTACAGCTTACAGGAAAGCACTCGTTTCATGCAAAAGCTCCTCAGCTGTGGAATAAGTTGGCTGAAAGTGAGACTAAAGCTAGATTGCCATTAACAGACCAGTGATCTCACCATGGTGTCAGAATCTAAAGCCCCGCCCACTGACTTTAAAGGATCAATTTACTAATTACAGCTAAAGCTAGAAAGGAACAAAGATTGGGGCGTAACGCAACTATTCCATATTTACAAAAAGTAATGAGATCCAACACCTGCAAAAACTTTCCTCTGGTTTATGAAGAGCCATGGAGGGGCGGAGCTTCAACCTCCAGGTTATGTTCATGTTTATCAGGGATGTGTATTTGTGAGATTCTGGCGATACAATACGTATCACGATACAGGGGAGACGATACAATATATCACGATATGTCGCGATACTTTCACCCAGACGATATTATCGATGTTTTAAGACTGAATTTATTGTTGGAAAATTCAATAAACAGCCCAAAGTGGTACATTTACCACCAGGTATCTGAACCATAACAGAGGGATTTACATTTCTGTGGTGGAAACAAAACCCATTGCTCACTGCTGCCAACTAGGGGTCGCTGTTTCAATTGCACTAATGAAAAGAAAATGCACAAATGTTTGCATGTAAACTCTTCCAAAAATTAGATACACAGCGTTTGAATATCGATATAATATTGCAGGAAAAAATATCGCGATATATTGCCATATCGATATTTTATTGCATTCCTACTGTTTATTATCGGTCATTGGTCGTCACGCGTTCTTGAGCTTCCTGTCTTCCATGAGCCCATGACATCTACGGAAAAGGTTTCCCACATCAGACTGTTTATTAGTGAAGCCACAGCATGCACACACACACACACACACACACACACACACTGCGGCTGGGCAATATGTAAAAAAATTTCCCACTGCCCATCGTCAGTCCAATAACTGACGATGGGCGATTGATTTGTGCATGTGACGTAATGATGCATGGACTGATTTGCGAATACAGTCGAAGTACAAACACTTTTTTTATAGAAGTGCGGCACAAATGTTTACTGGAAGAGAAAGTTAGATCTTTTCGTTTAATTTTGTATTTGTAGTTTGGTAGAGTGACGTATAAACGGCCGTACTAAACATGGCTGCAGGGTTAAAAAGAAGCCTTGTCTTTGTTTCCCTGTGGTGCTCACTATTGGGATGTCTTATTTCAGCAAAAAAAAATTTTATGATCAAAGGCTGCTGAGCTTCTTTCTTTTGAGTTTGAGAAATGAAATTAATGCGTTTGGACGCACTCTGAGGAGGGAGCATTTGTTATTCAGTCACAACAGGAAGTGAAACTTAAACGTGGCTGCTGTCAGTAACAAGCTAACAGATTTAAACATTAAAACTCAACAGAAATAGTTCAGAAAGGAAATTAAAATGTTATTTATTATTATTATTATTTATTGTGGCAGAAGCTGGTGTGGTCCACCACAGAGAAGCTGCTCTAGCATGATGACTTTAATTATTCTACAGGTTATTGTTCAGCATCTGACACACACACACACACACACACACACACACACACACGAGTGTTGGTGAGCGGCTGCGTCTGACTGCTGACGCTCCGTGTGTGTTTTTATTTCTGCAGTGAGACAAACTCACCTCACACCGTCCAGTTTGTTCTTTAAAGCTTCTATTAAATCCACCGTGTTGACGTATTTAACACGTTTCCTCTACGCTGCAGGAGTTAAAGTTCACGTCACGGAGTAAAAGTTCGGCAGACGCATTTGTTTATATCTGGGTGGGGGGGGGGACTCGGTGCTGCACACAGACAGCTGGTGTGATCAGCTCTGGAAAGCGTTGATCACAATTTGCAGATCACGTTTATTTTTCACGGAGATCGGCCGCGGATTCCTCTTCTGTCGGAATTCTAGGAATCGAAATAAAAAACTTTGAATGATTCTGGGAAAAACTAACAGTTGGAACCGGTTCCAATCGATGCTCGATGCCCGACCCTAGATGAAAGCACCTGAGTTAAATATATGTGTCACAGCAGAGGCTCTGAATACTTAAAACCATGTGATATTTGTTTGTCTTTTTAAAAAATCTGCAGAAACACACATTCTGTGTTTTTCTGCCAGTAAGGGGTGCTGTGTGTACGTTAATGAGGAAAAGAATAATTTAATTGTTCAGCAAATGGCTGCAAAATAAAATGGTGAAATTTTGATGAGGGTCTGATTACTTTTTGTACCCACTGTACACACACACACACACACACACACACACACACACACACTTGTCTCTGTGTCCTCTGAACCTCACCCCTAAGCCTAAAACAGGGGGTACACCGTATTAGGGCTGGGTTTTGTTCTTAATAAGGCCCATTAATCTTCAGAAGATTAGTGAAAATGCCAGTTCTGGTCCTAAGTAGGATACTTTAACAAGTACACACACACACACACAATGGCTGCAACAGACTTTCATGCAAGTGATGACAAATGAACGAGTCGTGTTTGGCCCATCTTCTGACAGGGTTTCCAGTATTTGGGCGAGTTTCCTGTAAATAAGTTGATGATGTGGTTTTTCAGGGAAGACGTTCCTGCGAGCCCCTCAGATGAACATAAACATCGCCACCTGGGGCCGTCTGGTGAGAAGAGCCATCCCAGCGGTTAGCTCCAACTCCTTCAGTCCACAAGCTGCTGAGACGGGAGCGAGCAGCTTGCCTGATTCTCCCACAACCAGAAGGTCAACAACCCCTCCTGCACCTGGATGAACATTTTAGCTTTTTCATTTCTGTGTAAAAGTGAATGATAACCATCATAGACCATTCTGATAAGCTAGGTCAAATTCAGACCGAGGTTCTAAAACAACTCCAGGCTTCTCAATGTCCATCAATCCATTTTCAGCCGCCTATCCGGAGTTGCGTAGCGGGGGCAGCAGCCCAAGCCGAGAGGCCCAGACTTCCCTCTCCCCAGCCACTTGGGCCAGCTCCTTCAGGGGAATCCCATGGAGTTCCCTGGCCAGCTGAGAGACATAGTCCTTCAAGTGTGTCCTGAGTCTTCCCTTGGGTCTCCTCCCAGTTAAACGTGCCCGGAAAACCTCACCAAGGAGGCGTCCAGGAGGCGTCCTGACCAGATGGCCGAACCGCCTGAACTGGCTCCTCTCTACGGGGAGGAGCAGCGGGTTTACGCCGAGCCCCTGCCGGTTGATCGAGCCTCTCATCCTATCTGAGGGAGTGCCAGACACCCTGCAGAGAAAATTCATTTCGGCCGGCTGTATCTGTGATCTCCTCCTTTTGGTCACTACCCAAAGCTCGTGACCATAGGTGAGGGTAGGAACGTAGATCGACCGGTAAATCGAGAGCTTCGCCTTCTGACTCAGCTCTCTCTTCACCACGACAGACCGGTACAACGCCCGCATCACTGCAGATGCAGCACCAATCCGCCCATCGACCTCACGCTCCAGTTTTCCCTCACTCGTGAACCCTGAGATACCTAAACTCCTCCACTTGAGGAAGGACCTTGTCCCTGATCCGGAGAAGGCGTTCTACCCTTTTCCAGTTCGAGATGGTCTTGGATTTAGAGTAGCTGATTCTAATCCCAGCTGCTTCACACTGTTGCGAACCGCTCCAGTGAAAGCTGGAGATCATTGTCTGAAGAAGCCAACAGGACCACATCATCTGCAAAAAGCAGAGACCTGATCAGGCCACGAAAACAGATGCCCTCCACACCTTGGCTGCACCTAGAAATCCTGTCCATAAAGGCTATGAACAGAATCGGTGACAAAGGGCAGCCTTGGGGGAGTCCAACTCTCACTGGGAACGAGCCCAACTTACTGCAATGTGTGAATCCCCTGTTGTTGGAACACACTCTGCTGTTTATAAATTGGGGGACCACCACCCAAGTCTGCCATTCTAGTGGAACTGCCCCCGATGTCCACATGATACTGTAGAGCCACGTCAACCAACACAGCCGTACAACATCCAGAGCCTTAACGAACTTCAGGTGAATCTCACCCAGCCCTGGGGCCTTGCCACCAAGCACTTTTTTGACCACCTCAGTGACCTTGGCCCCAGACGTTGGAGAGCCCAACCCAAACTCCCGAACTGTTTCCTCACTGGAAGATGTGCATGTGGGATTGAGAAGGTCTTTGAAGTATTCCGCCCACAATCCACAACGTTCCAAGTGTCACCACTGTAAACAGTGTTGGTAGCGCACTGCTTTCCCCTCCTGAGACGCCGGATGGTGGACCAGAATCTTCTCAAAGCCATATAGAAGTCTTGATCCATGGTCTCACCAAACTCTTCCCACGCCCTGGTTTTTGTCTCCGTCACCACCGGAGCCGCATTCCGCTTGGACTGCCGGTACCTATCCGCTGCCTCTGTAGTCCCTCAGGCAAAAGACCTGATATGACTCTTTCTTCAGCTTGACAGCATCCCTAACCGACGGTGTTCAAGAGCCATCACCATGACAGGCACCGACAACTCTGTGGCCACAGCTCCGGTCAGCCGCCTCAACAATAGAAGCATGAAACATGGCCCACTAGAACTCAGATTAGACCGCCAAGGTCCCTGCCTTCGGCTGCCACCCGATACACAATGCACCCAACCCCTTTGGCCCCTTCCACGAGTGGTGAGCTCATGGAAAGCAGGGCCCACATCTCCTCTTTAAGCTGTGCCTGACTGGGCTCCATGAGTAAAATCTCGGCCACAGGGCACTCGCCAGTGTGCCCCGCCTCCAGGCCTGGCTCCAGAGGGGGGCTCCGGTGACCTGCGTCTGGGCAAGGAAACACTGTTTCTATTTGTATTGTTCATCATAAGGGCTCTGTGGGCTGCACTTTGTCTGATCCTTTACCCAGGACCTGTTAGCCATGTGCGACCCTACCAGAGGCATAAAGCCTCAGAGCTCTAAATGTATTTGGTATAAGTAAACCTCCGTCGGTTAGGCGTTACGCTGATATTTCAGCAGGAATATTATTACATTCCAGCTGACCGACTCTCTGCTGCTACTACTTACCTGTAAACCCTAGTTTGCTGTAGTAAAGTTTCGTTAAAAGCTCATCTCACAGAAAGATAAATCACAAACATCAACAAAACATGTAATTAAAACCAATGATCATAAAACCAGAATGGAAATTAAGTCAGCATGACCCTCTCAAGGGCAGAGCCTTTTATATGGGCTGTGAGCTGCTTTTGCCAGACTAGCTGTTAGCGCATCAATCCTGAAGGATGTAATTAAGGTCTATTCCTCCAGACTGAGGCTGTTGAAGTGACATTAACTGGAGCATTTTAGTGGTTAAAACAGCAATGAAAGGTTTTTATTCTGACTTTGTCCAATCATAGTGATCCGTTGGTGACCAAGCTGGACTTTGACAAAGAGCCCACCCCCGGACCCAAACACTACCCCCCTCCTGATGATGTCAGAGAACCGCTAGCACAGCATAAGATGCCCAGCCCAGATGACGTTCAGGTGGGATGGAGCAGCGTTCATGAGAATTAATTGAACTGATGTGATCATGTCTCTTATTAAGTGTTGCCACGGTAACGGGATGTGGGGACACTGTAGTAGGTTTAAAAAGCAAAACATTTTCTATGTCCAACCAAATTTTATTTTTCTCTGAAGCTAAACCAAAACTTTCTTTATAATGTTGGCGGTCCCTTCTCCTCCAACACAAAGCGTCTCGTTTTTCTAAGTGCTTGTTTTTATTTTATGTTTGTTTCCTTTTGTTGTGTGTTTGGTGAGACGTGGAAAAGTCGTAAAATGACACAACAGAGAGGTTGGAAAATGAAATCGAGATGACGAAACGGCTTTGGTTGCTTTTGTGTAGCTGACCCACCCACTCGTCGTTTCTCCCTGTTCTGTTTTCTCCTTAATCCCATCTGTCCTCTCTTTAGGACGCACTCGGTGCGTATGACTTCCTGAACAGGAACAGCTCGGTCATGGAGCCAAACCTGTACGGAGTCCTGGAGGCGGAGTTCCCGCCCACAGACGTGAATCTGGTCTCCAGCCAGAAAGACTTAAGGTAGAACAGCAGGTGGGGTGGGGGGTGCAGCTGTGGTTGGGACAATTATTACATTAACTGATGGACTTGTAAATAAATAGTTTATAAATAAGGTAGAAATAAGTTTCTCACGCTGATAAATAATAACTAATCTCTCTGAGGACACGGTGCTAGTGCACTCTCCTACAGCACCTTGAGACGACTCAATAAATGTTATGCAACATTTAGTGAACAGCAATTTGCATGTATTTGTTATGAATGCTGCTGTATAATTCTTGCTGTCAGTATTTGCAAGATATTGGTATTTGGGTCTGTACTGGTTAGACTGAAATGAGTTAAACCAAGGTCTATAGTCCTTGGGTCATAGACTATGAGCTATAAGTATATTGGTCTTTTTATACTGGGAATCAGGAGTTATTTTAGTGATCATCTTGTTTCTTGTTTATTTTTGTCCTGATTGTGCCCTGAGCAGTTTTATGACTGAATAAAAATAAAAAAATAAAAATCTACATAAGTTGAAAAATCGTCTTAAATAATCGAGATCTCAATTTCAGTCACAATAATCGTGATTATTGTTTTTGCCATAATCGAGCAGCCCTACTTTAGCATATCCGGTCACATAATGATGACGTCATATTCAGTGGTCGTTGTGCATCATTTCAGGCCTCGTGCTCAACTGTCTGAACCGCTGAACAGAAGTGCCTGGCTTATTTTCTAAGTAAAATAAATATGTGCAATACGTTGTCAACATCAGTGAGTCTCTAAGTCTGTTCTTTTTGTATGTTATATATGTTAAAAAATGTGTAAATTGGTCGCTGATTAACACTTGCAATTTAGTGTTGTGATGGTTTTAAAAAAATTCTGAAGGTAGTAAAAAAAGTATTAAAAAGTAGTAAATTTTACTTAAGGATTGCTGTATATACCCTGGAAAAACTCTAAAATTATTAATGTTTCGAACACGTGTGACTGGATGAGTATAAAGCCACGTAGCAAGCGTTTTATTCGTGGATGGAAATGACAGGAAACGTGGGTTTAGAGGTGGCGACCGCACGAGGAGGATGAGGGACAAATTTGTCGTCGTCGTCTTCCTCTGCTTATCCGGGTCCGGGTCGCGGGGGCAGCATCCCAATTAGGGAGCTCCAGACCGTCCTCTCCCCGGCTACCTCCACCAGCTCCTCTGGCAGGACCCCAAGGCGTTCCTGGACCAGATTGGAGATGTAACCTCTCCAACGTGTCCTGGGTCGACCCGGGGGCCTCCTGCCGGCAGGACGTGCCCGAAACACCTCCCCAGGGAGGCGTCCAGGAGGCATCCTGACCAGATGCCCAAACCACCTCAACTGACTCCTTTCGATCCGGAGGAGCAGCGGTTCTACTCCGAGTCCCTCCCGAATGTCCGAGCTCCTCACCCTATCTCTAAGGCTGAGCCCGGCCACCCTACGGAGGAAACTCATTTCGGCCGCTTGTATCCACGATCTCGTTCTTTCGGTCATTACCCAAAGCTCATGACCATAGGTGAGGATTGGGACGTAGATCGACCGGTAAATCGAGAGCCTGGCTTTCTGGCTCAGCTCCCTCTTCCCCACGACAGATCGGCTCAGCGTCCGCATCACTGCAGACGCCGAACCAATCCGCCTGTCGATCTCCCGATCCCTCCTACCCTCACTCGTGAACAAGACCCCGAGATACTTAAACTCCTCCACTTGAGGTAGGACCTCTCCCCCGACCCGGAGGTGGCAAGCCACCCTTTTCCGGTCGAGAAAAATGTGTCCGTGTTAAAAAGTCTCTTAAATACAAACAACACAATAGTAAATGTGTTGGACCGATACATGACAGGATACCACAGAGCAGCGCTACGCCCTCTGCTGTCCTGGCGGGGAATTGCTTTGCAGCACTCCCCAGGAGACGGAGAAGTATAAACTAGCTCACGGGTCCCTGGAAGAACGATCAAATTAATGCGATTCAACCGGGCTAAAGGAGCTATTTTCTAACGCCACGTACTTTGAGATTTATCAGCTTGTAAAAGTTCGTTATTAGCATGACTACAAATCGGACATCGGCACGTTGCAATGTGACATCACCACATACTCTCCTCTCCCCTAGCGTAGCTGCTACTTACCACATGATCAGATTTATGGTGGTTCTTTCCTCCTGTGGGAAGTTTGCTGACCTTACAGCCTTTTCCCTCCATGTCTGGTTCGATGACGTCACTTTCGTGATGCACATGTGCAGTCCTGGACTTACTTTCACACAAAACCTAAAATAGCATTTCCCCCCTTCGAAAATAAGCACGTTTTTGGTATCAAAATGCATCTTTAAAGTTCACGGACGTTATTTATGAAGTCCATGGCACAAAACAAGCGGAATTAGAAAACAGCGTTTTAGCACCGTTGACTCGCGTTCATTCTTTCGTTCTTCTGAGGACCCGTGATGCGGAAGTGAATTCGGTTCACTATTCTCATGCTGTCATGAGGCCTGACCAGTTGGTAGTGTTAGTGCTGCCCCCTGGCTGCAGGCGGCCTGCATGAACCTTAACTAATCGCTGACCTTTTTAGGGAGGAAGAGCAGTTCCACTTCAGCCTCAAGGACTTCAAATGTGTGGCCGTGCTTGGACGGGGACACTTTGGAAAGGTAGGTCTAGTTTTTCTTCAGTGGGATTCTATTAATTAGTGGATTTTCTGAATTTTTGGTTCAAAACACTTGATCAACATTTTTGGTCAGAGGATCAATGACCTGGTCATGATGCCTGTCTTACATCACCCCGGTCCAGGTGCTGTTGGCGGAATATAAAAGCACAGGGGAGATGTTCGCCATTAAAGCCCTGAAGAAAGGAGACATCGTAGCTCGGGATGAGGTGGACAGGTAAGCTATCCAAACATAAACATGACAGACAACACGCTTTTAAATATTCTTAAAGATGCAGTAGAGTGTAAAATAACATTTTCCTTGTTGAGTAAAGACAGCTTTAAGTTCAAGTCCCATTGGTCATCAAACACATGTGACCTATCCTCTGGGGGAGCGGTGAGCTGCAGAAACGGCTGCGCTCGGGAACCATTTGGTGGTTTAACCCCTCAATCCAACCCCTTAATGCTGAGAGTCGAGCAGGGAAGCATCGGGTCCCATTTTCAAAGTCTTTGGTTTGAACCCACAATCTCACCGTCTCATACCACTAGCTAGCATCAAATGTAGCATGCCAAAAGGTCAAAGCTGCGTGTGACCTGCTCTCTGTGTGTATACTAGAAATGTAAAAAAAGGTGAGAGAAACACCATGGTAGGATGCAGGGGCGGATTTAGGACTGAAGAAGATCCGGGGCTTAACACACACACGCGCACGCACACACACGTGACACTCACTAGTCAACATCATAAATATTTGTCTTGTACCACATAATTTTTAATCTGAAGCTACATATTCAGGGCAGAGTATTGTTCCTGTTGTGTTTAGTGTGAGATGATAGTAAATATTCCCTTTCTTTCTCCAACAACTTTACCTGATAAGCTAACTTTAGGCAAACCAGCAGCTCAACAAATATTTTCAAATAAGACTCACAAACCTGAGTCAGCACCAGTCTCATCAAAGCTGGGGTTCTGTCGCCGTACTTTTGGTCTAAAAAACGTCCTTATGTCCATCTTCACTCATGCGTTTCAGACAGAGAGTGTAGAAGAAGCCGGTGTCGGTACAGGATCTGCTCGGGTGCAAAATTGGCTCGAGGTCCGTCGACTGCCGATGACGTCAAAGTAGTTGATTGGCTGAACATGAACCTTACGGAATTACGTAATCACGTTACGTTGGTCCAGGTAATGTTTCTGTTGGAAAGATGGACAACTTTTACAAAGAAATCCATCATTACCTCTTTGAAAATACACTTTTAGCATAGAGCTGCATGTATATTAGGGCTGAACGATTAACTGCATGTGCAATTAAATTGCGATGTGACAAAAGGAGATTTTCTAATCGCAAAGGCTGCAATTTGGCAGCGAGTGGTTAGCGCAATGCTAATAAACGTGGAAAAACCCATAGGAATGCTAATGCTAATATCACCGATTACATTATTACAAATTATGAATTAGAAACGTGCCAAATGATTACATTTGGAGTCTAATAGAAAGTAAAAATACCATCAATCAAATAAGTACAGACAGGTATTTTAGTAAAGCCAGAAAACTTTTAACTCCAGAGTTTTGGCTAGCAGCTATGAGCGTACCTGAACTACGCATGGACAAGACGTCAAAAACTCTAAACACAAAATACTTCAATAAACGGGACACACTTCTTTCCTGCAAATACAATTTCACAGGTGTTGCTAATACCTATGATCCTTCAAGGGATGTGCTCAAAGAGGAGTTCAACATTATGAATACAATATAGTGTTTTATTTTACAAATACCATTATAAACACAAACTTACGTCTTAAGAAACATTATTTTAATAACGAAACTGCTAAATTCTTTCCAGCAGTATAGGTGTGTAGTGTATTTTGTCCGAGTGGGTTTGCCGTACTTTGACGTCATCGGCAGTCGAAGGACCCCGAGCCGATTTTGCACCCGAGCAGATCTTGTACCGACACCGGCTGCTGAAGGGCTTCTTCTTCAGTGGTGGAGGCTCAGGCAGGCTGTATACAAACTACTGCCAGCTGCTCCCTCTCTGTTGGACTTTGGTACTGCATGTTACTTCCACGTTTGAGATCCGGGACTTTTCATAAAACATTTGAGGCTTGAGCCCAAGTAGCCGGGCCTAACGCCGCCCCTGGTAGGATGAGCCTCTGTTAGCACCAGCCTGAGCCTCTAGCTTCAGCTGCTAGCTTCTGCAGTTAGCTTCAGCTGCTAGCTTCTGCAGTTAGCTGCAGCTGTTAGCATCAACTGCCAGGTTCAGCTGCTAGCCTCCGCAGTTAGCTTCAGCTGCTGGGTTCAGCCGCTGTACTCAGCTGTTAGCTTCAGATGCTAACTTCAGCTGCTAGCTTCTGCAGTTAGCTTCAGATGCTAGCCTCAACTGCTAGGTTCAGCTGCTAGCCACAGTCTTATTGAATGGGTGTAAAATAAGCACTCAGCATTTTCTTTTTTATCACACACACACACACACACACACACACACACACACACACACACACACACACACACACACACACAATCCTGGTTTCCTTTCATGTCTCCAACAGTCTGATGTGTGAGAAGAAGATTTTTGAGACGGTCAACAGTGTCCGCCATCCCTTCCTGGTCAACCTGTTTGCGTGTTTCCAGACGCAGGAGCATGTGTGTTTTGTAATGGAGTACGCAGCTGGGGGCGACCTCATGATGCACATCCATGCTGATGTTTTCTCAGAGCCTCGGGCTGTGTGAGTGTTTGTCTTCATCTGTTCTACGATAGGACCACCATCTATTGTGGCTGCTCTGTAAATCGAGCCTTCTTCTCTCTTTTCTGCTTCGTTTCCATTCACTCTGATTCTTTGCAGATTTTATGCAGCGTGCGTCGTGTTGGGATTACAGTTTCTACACAACCACATGATCGTCTACAGGTACCTCATTTAAAAGACGGAGAACAATGTTTTACCCAGTATGGAAACCCCGACCTGACCTGAAAGTTGTCCTTTTCAGAGACCTGAAGCTGGATAACCTGCTCCTGGACACTGAGGGCTATGTAAAGATAGCTGACTTTGGGCTGTGTAAAGAAGGTGAAATGTTCATATGTGTGTTGTTTATGTTTATTTAATGTTTACGTAAATCTGGTGGCCTGTAAAAAGGACAAACCGTGTCTAACATGGATCCTTTTGAATCATAAAAGGATGACTAGATTATAAAATACCAGCAAGTCAACCATTACTTGGTGTGTGTGTGTGTGTGTGTGTGTGTGTGTGTGTGTGTGTGTGTGTGTGTGTGTGTGTGTGTGTGTGTGTGTGTGTGTGTGTGTGTGTGTGTGTGTGTGTGTGTGTGTGTGTGTGTGTGTGCGCTGTAACTCGTTCTCTTCCGTTTCTCCTTAAAACCACAGATTAACGTTCGGTTCATCCTTTGACTCGTCTCGAGAATCGTTTTTGCTTTCTGCCCCCGCTGAACTGCAGGAATGTAAAGCTACGTAGCTAATGTTGCTGTTCAGTTCTTCTTTTAATGAGAATGGCAGACTAACGGCAACACGGGCGCTTTGCCGCCCCCGTCAGGTCAGCTGTATAAACAACGCAGCTTTATCTTTATATTTGAGACCCGCAGCTGTGACGTGTGCGTTGTGCCAGTTAACCTGCCGCCGCATGAATTGACCTGCATTTGGCCGGTGGCGGGTGCTGATTTCCACCCCTGGCTGTGTGGGACTCTCCATTTGTGCTGCCAGGCAATGATGGACTGCAGTGAGTTTCTCAAACAGGAAGGCGTGGATCATGTCAGGTCCCGGTGCTTCCGGGTTTTCATGCTGGAGACGTTTCCCTGGATGTCTGCTGCAGTGGTGGATACTGGGTTCTGCTCAGGGGGGTTGCTGTGGTTGCTCCTCGAGAGGCTAGCCACTTTGCATTGTTGTTGTGTGATGCTGTGTACTGGTCAGCTTTCCTTGCTCTGCTGTCATTAGCCGGCCCAGAGAGCTGGTTTATTCGTCTGGCTGCAGCCTCTCTTTTGGAGCCTTTGTTTGGCCGTTTCCAGTGCTCCAGGTGTGGAGTTCTGGCCGTAGCTCTTGGTTTTCTCATCCTGCCCTTCTGGAGCCCTGACAGTTGGCTCGCTTCTCCGTGCTGCCTTGATTTTGCCTTCCGGCCTCTCCCATGGTGGGTATTGTTGCTCCTGCTCTTATAGCCAAGCTGAAGTGTATATCAGCTCATTTGTTCCAGTGATGGTGGTTGTGGGAATCGTTCTTAATGCTGCATTCACATCTTCACAGATTTCTGATGGTACGTCACTCAGCCGTTGTAGTTGGCGCCTATCCTGTTTCTCAGGTCGGCTGTTTCACTTATTGGGGCTTTGTGCCCAATCTCTGGATGGGGAGTTGCTGTGAACTCCCCTCTGACCTTGTGACCTTGTGCCGTAGCATTTGTGGAAGCCGTTGCCGTCTGTGGATGTTGGAACACTGAGCTGCTAGTTTGGCTGTCAGCGGGTTTGAAGTAACCCTACTTCACGCATTCTTCGCGTATAGCCCGTCTGTCTAGGGTTAGTGGAGCAGAGGCATTCCAGCCAAGTAGTAGCCCGCTTTTCATCAGGGTGCTCCGGTTCCCCAGAGTGACAGCTGAGCCAGCTTCCTCTCATCATGGTACCAGGTAGGCAAATGGCACCAAGGGTCTTGCCCAAGGGCCCACTCTAGATGTTGGTATTCAGTGTGTGTGTGTGTGTGTGTGTGTGTGTGTGTGTGTGTGAGAATTCTCAACATCCCGTAACGGCCCTCAGAGCCAGTCTCTGAAACACGTGACTGAACTCGTCGTACGTGTAAAAGTGATTTCTGACCAAACGTGCTGAAAGCTTCTGAATCCCGCTCTGCTGCAGGAATGGGATACCGGGACCGGACCAGCACGTTCTGTGGCACGCCGGAATTTCTGGCCCCGGAGGTCCTAACGGAGACGTCGTACACACGAGCGGTGGACTGGTGGGGACTGGGCGTCCTCATCTTTGAAATGCTGGTGGGAGAGGTGAGCAGAGTCTTCATCACCAGAACTCACCGCTGCTGCCGTTGAGACGAGGAACTGATCTGTGTGTTCGTCTCCAGTCGCCCTTCCCTGGTGATGATGAGGAGGAGGTGTTCGACAGCATCGTCAACGATGAAGTCCGCTACCCACGATTCCTTTCTACCGAGGCCATCTCCATCATGAGAAGGGTGTGTTCATGGAGGTTTTCCTAACCTAGCCCTAACCAGCTGCTCCACCACAACCAACCAGCACAACCCTTTAGTGGTTTGGATGGCTGGAGGTGTTCATCCCACCTTTATGTCAGGTCACACAACCGTTCCTGTTCTAATTTAAAGTGCATCTTCAATGTTCTTTAAAATAGTAGAAAAACATCATCAAAGGTCAAAAAGCTACGTTGGTTATCCTTCCAGGTCTTCAGATAACTAGAGGGTGGTTAACAAACTAAATCAAGGAAGTGGGCAGACTTCCCTGAGGTACATATGTACAGTCATTATGTACCTCAGGGAAAACTCGGAAGACGCGCTTGACTCTGGTTATTTGTAGTTTCTGAGGTAACATCGATTCAACTAGTTTAGCAATGGTTAACGTTTTTGTATGTTGGGGTTGCACAAGCTCCTGTTTGTCTGGACCTCGTATTTATTGGTTTCCACGACAGAAAATTCATATGAGAAGCATAGAGATCAGATTATATAAATGTAGAGGTGACACGGGCTAGGGCTTTCTGCAGGCTGCCATCTTGGATGGGTAACCAGTCGCCCTAGTGCATTCATTGGGCTAGAAAAGTCAATAGTAATCCCACATAATCTGTGTTTAATAGTACACCGGTTGTTGGAACTGTAGACCGCACAGAAACAGGCATAGTTGCTCACGCATTAACCCCAATTAGGTTTGGGAGAGTGAGGGACCCATCCAATATGGCAGCCAAGTGGTAACACTCCAGTGCTCAGCGTCGCCTCTACGTATTTGATTTCATCTCGTTCCCACCTCTTGTAGCCACTAGCAGTTTGTTTCATAGAAAGAGGACGTTCATACTGACTTCAAAAGGAAACCTTCGTCTTCTAAAGAAGACCCGCCTTTTATTCTGGTCGCTGTGTGAGTGTGGGACTACTTTCTTTTGAGCATAATGAGAATAGTGAAGCAGCTCTGCCGTGATAGTTTTAGACCAATGCCGTGTCCTCATTTAGTAAACAGGAAGCATAGCGGTGCACTTGGAGTCCGAAAATAGCCGCGATTATGATTTCATCCCCTTAGAAACTCAAAAATTAGAGAACAAAACCTATTTTATGGAAACGTGTTTAATGTAATATGTCAGGGCACAAGTTTCTGTCAAAAGATATTAAAATAAAAAATGCTGTTACCAGTTAGCGTTGCCAAGTTCTCCCGCTCCATGTACATAATTATGCCTTTGTAGCCTGTTCGCATCTCCGGCTCTGCACCAAAACGTGTTCGGATCCAGAATCCGGAGCTCCGTGCTGCTGCTCTTTTTCTCTGAGCAGAGTCGGAACGTTTTCCTTGAGCGACGTCACTTTTGTTTTCCAGCAGGAGGCGCTGTTAGACGGGTGAGCTAGGACAGCCTAGTAAGAACTGTGATGGCACATTTTTTCTCAAACGTCTTCCATTTTTGATGAAAATATAAAGTTTAGGCCTGTTACATCACGTGTTTACCGTGGAAGACACACTTTAATGGAGCTCCTACCTTTACGTTAAACTCCCGTTGGTCACCATCGCTAGCTGTTTGGTGGCTTCACCCCCCAGTCCAACCCCTTCAAGCGGGGAGGCGTCGGGTCCCATCGTTAACGTCTTTGGTCTGACCCGACCGGGATTTGAACCCTGATCTCCCAGTCTCAGGGCGGACTCCACCACTAGGCCACTGAGGAGGTGTCACCAAAAGGTGTCTGTAGACGATTCACCTGTTGTCTCTCAGGAGGTCAGAGTTCTTCCCTCCTGGTGGTAAATGTTCCCACGGCTCAGCAGATGGAGGCTGAGGTCTCGGATGGTTTGGGACTAAAAGCGCACAGGAAGCAGAGGCCTCGTTTATCACCTGCACGTATGACCAGATCTGTGTGTTTATGGCGCGTAGGAACTCATTCACACCTGTGGGATTCATCACTTTGTACCTGTGTGTGGAAATGTTCCTAAACACAGGAAAACCAGACCATGTGTAGGAACAGCATCTAGTGGTAGAACGGGGGAACACCGAAGGTCTCGGTCTTCCACTCATGATTTTACCCGGTAATAACAGCCGAGTCGCGTACCTGGTGCTGAAGCACGACGGGAGGATGGATGTCGGGGTTTTTCTAATCTTAATTGTTACTTTTCCCATTTTTATGATGTTCTTAATCTTTACCATTAATTAATTAGTATTTTTATTTATTTTATGACATCATATGTGTGTCTCTGTGAAGCACCTCGTGACTCTGCTTGAGACGCGTTAGATGAAAGAACGTTTCTGTATTAATATCAGGGCTTCATCAGAGCTCCTCTCTGGAGAAAACGCGCTGACAGGAGATCCGCCTGGAGCGTTGCTGGGATTTGGGATCCTTTGTGGAGCGACAGATAAACCGCACAAATCCGAGTCCAGTCCAAGTTTTATTTTACAACCCTCAGAACCTTCTCTGCTCCCCCACGTACGCGTTTCCATGGTAACCAGACTGAACACAGCCGAGACGTTTCCAAATAAAACGAACTCCAACTAGAACAACTCCTCAGAAGTATATGAGAACCCGTTACGCTACGATTTATCAGATCAGTTGTTATTTATTCCTGACGGGAACCTCTAGCTCCGTAACCCGTTTGGTTCTTTTACACTTGGACAGCAACAAAGTTCCCAGGTAGAACCCAGGGAATACCGTCGCCTGCTGAGGACGCCGTGTGACCAAATGTGGTTAAATGAGGGCGTTTCTGAATGTAAATGAGTGAGAACGGACACGAGCACCTGGGTACGCACAGGTGGGCTTTACCATCAGACGAGTGCGGAGGAACGTGCATACGAGAGGCCGCCACGTTTCATAAATCAGGATTTTGACCGTCCGTACGAACATTTCATTCACAGGAACGAATTTAGGAATATTTCTACAGTTTGGTGAATGAGGCCAAAGGTCTCGTTTCAGAGGAACCTTGGGTTTGTTTCACCAGCTTGTTCTTCTGTCCAGCTTCTGAGGAGGAGTCCGGAACGGCGTCTCGGCGCGGGAGAGCGGGATGCAGAGGAAGTGAAGAAGCACCTGTTCTTCAGGGTGAGACACACAGGACACGCGCAGCGGAGATGTTTGGGCTGTGGTGGTTAACGCTCCTCTGTCTGCTGCAGAACATCGATTGGGACGGGCTGCTGGCCAAGAAGGTAAAGCCACCGTTCGTGCCGACCATCCAGAGCTCCAGTGACGTCAGCAACTTTGATGAGGAATTTACCTCCGAGGCGCCGATCTTAACGCCCCCACGGGAGCCGCGAGCGCTGAACTCGGAGGAGCAGAAGCTGTTTTCTGACTTTGATTACATTGCTGACTGGTGTTAGCTCCACCTGGAGCTCCTTGATTTTTAATACGCCGCCTCCTTCCTGCCCAGAATGTTGCGATGATCTCAGCTCCGGGAACAGAAACCGTGCCTCTCCAAACAAAATCCAGATGATGCCTCATCACTTCTCTCTAAATCAACACAAAGAATTCAGATGGAGTTGGACGGACGTCCTTCGTCGTCCTGCTGTCCAGCTCGCCACCGAGAACGTTTTTTACCAACTCTGATAGGACGATAACGTTATCCGCCATCTTTTCTACTTGTACAGATTAGACTCGTTTCTCCCTGGAACTGCAGATGAACGTCACCTCCACAAACATCTGGACCACTGCGGCTTCCCGCAACAGAACCGGAAATTAGGCTCCTTAACCTCTGGCGCCCCCTGCTGGTCACTGATTTATTTCATTACGTCAGAAATCAGCAGTAAAGTTCCAGCTGAACCAAAACTTCATTTAAATCCGTTAAAGTTCTTCGTACGCTGTCCCGTCTCACCGCAGAGGAGCTGATTTACACAACATGTGGATGCAGTCGAGCTGAAAGCACTGATTCTAGCAATAGTTGTCAGGATCTACATTTCTTCATTATGCAAATAGATTGTACAAAATGTTTTTTTATCTATGTGCATGTTGTCTGATGTAAACTGTATGAATGGTACATAAATGACTTAATCACAACCTTGGTGCATAAAAGCGTTTTTGCAGCCCGTGTGGTGATGACATCACCCGTTCACGTCTGGGTGGACGTCTGTTCTCAGTGAGAGCTCAGCTGGGACCCGTCGCTGGAAACGAGACTTTAGTTTTATTAAATTCATGAAAATCGTTTATTTTTAAATTACTTGGAACAATTCCAACAAAATAGAACCTGAATCCTACAAAACAAAAGCCTCATGTTTACAGTATGAAAACAGCCTAAACCTGCAAGCATCAGTGGCATCGCTCATCTGGACACACACGGTACAGCACACACACACACACACGATACTGTACGTACAGTCTGCAAGCTGTTTAAGCACTGGAATGTCTGCTGCCGTCGGGCTGGAAGTGGAAAACTGTTCAAGTCCAGAAGGGAAATAAAAAGCTAGAAAAACTCGAGTACAGCAGAGGAACGCCGCCTGAGCCAGACGACTCCTCACAGCTGGGGCAGCTTGTCCACAGGTGTGTCGAATTTGAAGTCTGGGGGGAAAAGCTCTGCGGCACGTGGGTAGATGAGTCGGTAAGACTGTCTGATTGTGACGTCTGCCACGCCGGCAATGTCACCAATTTCTGTGGAAGAACAGGAAACGGTTAGAGAACGTTGGGAGCTGGAGCTGATGTCCCAGGTGGGATTTTCCCAGGATTCATGGAGACGAGTCGAGAGGAGGGCACTGCAACTGATGGTCGGGGTGTCTGCCCAGCCTATGGAGCCCCCAAGGGGACAAAAACCTTCTGTCTCCTCCGTAATAGTTACTGAAACAAGCGTAAACTGTAGCAATGCTTTACATTAAAGGAGAAAACATGAAGTCATTTCTAGAACATTGTCTAAAAATGCAAATGAGTTTGTGTCTTAGAACAACCGTTTTACGTGGGACAGGAAATCCGTTGAAGGTTGAGGACATAAGGAGCTACTTTCCAATGAAACGTGTACATCACCTAAAGCTAGGTTTGCTAATGAGTTCATATGAATGTGATTGCTAGCGCTCGGCTTTAGCGCTAGCATACAGCAGGTCCATCATCTGTAACCCGTCAGAAATCTGCAGCCTTGAGCAGAGACAAGTTCAGCCTAGAGAGTGGGAGTGGCTTATCTGTCCTTTCTCTTCCTCTACATGTTGAATGTAATGTGTATCCCAGCTGGATTTCCCTTTAACCAACCCAGAACCAGGGGTCAGGTCTACTGGGTTATTTATCATCCTCAT